TGAATAGCTTGCCACTGGGTTCCTGCTTCCTGATTCTAAGGCGTGCGTCCCACTCCACCAGTGAGAGGATACCATTTAACTTTTAGTTCTCAAAGCACCATGCACTCCTACACCCCCACCCATAGGCTAAACGGGGGGCCCTAGAGGCACAAAGACTGGCAACCCATTTCAAGGAAGTGAGAACAAGGGTCCTTTCTCTTGTTTAGAAGATCCGATCTGTTTTGCATGAAGGTTTTCAGGAGCCAACACATTTTGACATTCTATCACTAGTCCTGGGGCAATAAGGAATGCTGTGCACATTGTCCCGGGAGAAGATGAAGGTCAGGTTTTCTCTTTTCTGCAGTGGCGGCTTGTGAAAGCCTGGTGAGCCAGAGTCTCCCTCCCACCATGGGCAGATGAGCTCAGTAAAGCCTGCAAAGCCCAAAATCCCAGGAGAGACCGCCTTAGTCCCTCCTTAGACCCGCCTTAGGACCCGCTGGTCCCTGTGACAGGCACCAGCAAACGTGAGACTCCCAAAAACTTTTCCACCAAATACTTGTCTCTTGGTGTCCTATATTGCCCTATGCCCATAAATAATAAAAAGGCTGATAACATTGCTTTATGTAAGCAGGCTTAGAAATCACTCTCAGATAAGTGCTTTTGACCTAAATCTTGTAGCGCCTCGTTCTGACATATAACCTCGCAACTGTGAAATTCTGTATGAGATTTAACAGTCTCAAACTGTCAACTGACCCAGCCATAAAGCAAGCCGAGATAAAGATTTACAGTCCAACATGATACAATTAGACATTCACCTTCTATTTATTTCAGTGCGGCTAAGCATTTAACCTACTTAAAAGCCGAAGGGTTTTTCATTAGAACACAAATGCATGTTTCTCATTCATGCTAAGCTGCCGCCTCCTCTTGCATCTTGCAAATTAGTCCATTATGAATGAAAAAGATTAGTTTGTTTCAGAGAAAGGGGTAAACAGGAATGGTTTCTGTAAAATCCTCCTAGACATGCAAAGATAAAAGCTGGCTTTACCACACGAAAGAATCAGATACAAGTAGCTGGTCGGAAGCAACACACCTAAGGAGTACTTTAATCAAATATTTGGGTTACCTGCCAAAACGACCATGATCTCTTCAAAATGCAATGCGGATTAAAGTGTTATCTAGCACAAGCAGAAAACTAACCTTGGAGTGGAAGTTTGAAATGTGTTCATCATAATTTTCATGTCTTTGGAGCGAGAAACCAGCTTTTTCAGCTAGACTGCAAAACTGGTTGAATGTATTCCCTCGACGTGGGGCGAATACCATTGCTTTCCCCTAGAACATTAAAAAAAGAAATTCACACAGTTTAAAACTGGAAGGCAACCAAACACAGTAGACGTGAAGTCGAAGTAGTCCTCACCTCTCAGGTACAGAAGCTTGACTGTTCTGGAGACATTTAAACGGGAAGGACACACAGGGAGAAGCATTTCAAGGGCAGATAAAGAAAAGAATATTTCACACTCAGATAGCCATGTTATGTTGTATTATTTCCAAATAATATATATATGTAACAAATGAAACGTGACCAGGAGCTGCTGTTCTGGACAATGTACCCTGTATCAGGTCTAATGGTTTAAGTCATAGACATTAGTGTCGGGGTGGCTGCCATCGACTGTGACTCCTTCATGCCTAACAACACAGCTCCACGCACATGGTAACGATGCCTATACACAGATCAGACGTCATAGATCGGTGGCCACCAAGTGTTCTCACACTTCGGTCTTGTTCCTAGTCTTCTCTGTGACTTTCCTGCTCTGGGACAAGGTTCCAAAATGTAGGTTTCCACCTTGAGTGGAACCCCTCAGAAGAGTCCATACTGTAACAGGACGACTCTGCAGCCATCATCTGACAGTGGTACCACGCAGGTAGGCAGGCATTTCCAAATAGTCACAAAATCTGAAGGAGACTGTGGCCCTGAGGAGAACCTGAATAAAATGTCCACGGGACTTCAGAAGGCCAATGTGACAAGATACTTCACAATGACCCTGTACTAATAAGTGGATGCCCTGTGGGCTCTCCCTTCCCCTGACCTGTACACACAATGACCAGGTTTCCAACTCTTATTTTTTTCCCCATTAAACAAAAACAGATACCTACATGCTTCTGTTAATTCCATGTTTAGAGCTCTCATCCAAATCTGAGGGAATTATGAGATATAGTCCAGTTCGGTTTTTTTTTTCTTTTTTGACTGTTGTTTGTTTGCTTGAAGCAGAGTCTTGCTATGGTAGTCCAGGCAAGCCCTGCATTTGCATTCCTCCTGCCTCCACTTCCTGAGGTCTGTAGTTGCAGGCATGAGTGACCATGCCTGACTTATTCCAGGTTCTTATGACAGAAAGGCATCATTCACACCCATCGACATCTGTTGGTATGAGAGTGTGTGGGACAATGGGCTCGCCATTAACACACACATCATCTCCTCTAGTCTCCTACCTGGGAAAGTATCCTCAGGCCCGTTCCACAGGGATGCTCAGAAAGTTGGAGAGTTGGCCAAGGGGACACCACCCAAATTTGACTAGAAGCTCATCATTCCAACTCCAACATGAACGCCCTTTCTCTCTACTTCTTTGTCTCTTTATTAGCCACAGTGATGACGACGACAATGGCAGCTACCACCGTGTTAGCTGCTTCCCAACCCCCCTTAATCCCTTCGGCACTCTTCTCCACCACCTTGTGGATTAGATATTGCACCTTACAGATGAGTGAACCAGCAGTGGAGGGGCTGAAAACCAGGAGGAACCATGGGACGGAAAGAATCCTGGACTCAAAAACATGGATCCCCACCATCCAACAGCTGCGTAGTCAGAACCACAGCATCCAGCAGAGAGCTGGGAGGATGCTGGAGATGGTGAGGTCTGATTCCCTGATTCTGCACACAAGATCCTGCAGTCCACCCCCACCTGTGGCCGACCTGCTGAGTTTGCTCATCCATCTAATGGGAAGATCCGAGCTGTATGGCCTTTTTTTTGTTTTGTTTTTTGGGGTTTTTTTTGTTGTTGTTTTTTGGTTTTTGGTTTTTCCTTCCAGCAAGCTGTGAGGCTCAAATGAAGGGAATGTAAAAATAATTTGAAAAGCAAGGCGATTCAGACATAAGATGGGGGGAAAATTCCATATTATTCAACCGTGCTCTAAGAATCCTCACCCCACCCCGTCTACCTGCAAGAGAATGAATACACTGATACACTGCCCTGGACAGCAAGTGCGTGTTCACATGTGTTTACATCGACATCTACACACGCAGACACGTAATTACCATGGCACCAGTCATGCCACTATACGTAGGGTTCTGTCAGCTTTTCCAATATTAATTGCTATTTTCAGGCAGTTTTCAAACAGCATCAAAAATTCATTTTTATGTGGAACTAGATATGATACACGGTCTCAGCAGGAGAGCACAAGTCAGTCTTTTTTTAAGGAGAAAAAAAAAAAGGAGGGATTATGAGTTGGTCATTTCAGTCATTCCAAAGGGCCGGTTGCCGTTCTAGAGTTTTGGATCGTGGAAGTTGTTTGTCCTGCAGAGATTGTCATACAGTTACAATGGAGGAGTTGGTTTTTACAGCTGTTATCTAAGCTACGTAACACAGCGTTTCAGGGTGACAGGATTCTTCGCTGGGCTGATGCTTGCACTCACAGAGTGCGTGCTTCCCACATCCCACTCACTAGTGGGTTGGGAGTGGGTGGGTAGGCTAAGGAGTGTTTTCTGACTAAATATCCTCCCTCTGCTGAAGGCTCAGCTCACCTTCTATTGCTAACAAACACATCCAGAATAGTAGCAAGCAGCTCCCCTTCCCCTCGCCAGCCTCTCCTCCACGCTGCAGCTGTTGTCCTGTTCTTAGCACTTATTGTCACAGACACACGCTGCCATTGCCTGTCTCCTCTGGATGGACTGTATGCTCCATGACAACAGGGTCTTCTGAAGCTCTGTGCACTGCACTTCCTCGGCGCCCAGTAGACAGTAGGAACTCAGTCAATATTTGTTGAGAGAATAAACTAAATCTAGATGCTAAATAATCCACCCCCCCCCCCAAAAAAACCACTGGTCATAGAGAGTTTAAAGGCCACATTCTATTGCTTATTCTTTTGAAAAGATTTTCTCCAAGGGCCTTTTATGGAAAACAGCTCTTGGAAGTGATTGCAGAGGACTTGCATCTGCCCAATCCAGCACCCACAGAAAGAGCAAGATGGAAAGTCGTGCTGGTCCAGAATTAGTGATGAGTTTTAAAGTATCTTTCATTTTTTTGAATGTTGATACTCTGAGATGCGAATTAATGTATTGGAGGGTGATAATATACCACCCATCCATTCGAAGACATCTACGGAGCCCTATCAGGTTGCCAGTCTCTGCCCCATATGGTTTTAAAGGCACCTTGCCTCAGTGTCCCCAGGGGAGCAGGGCATGTCTGTCCAACCAGATAGATAGACCTTATAAGTTAGCCTGCAAAGAAATCAAAACAAGAAAAACAATATAGATTTCAAATGGGCACATTACCTTAGAAAACTTATTTTCAATTTACCAAAGTGCAAGTTTCTAAGCATTCAGCCACCGAATCATTTTTAGAACTCAGAATGAACACTCAATTGAATGTAAAATTTGGCTGGTGGACAGAAACTCACAGGACTTCACTTATCCCTGGAGAGATGAGGGAGAAGTTCCATTCCCCAGCAAAGACACTGTTTCCAGCATGAACTCCACTGTTGTTGCTCTGTGAGGCCGCTCCATCCTCAGGTATTAAAGAGTATACACTCACGGGAAAATAAGGGTGCTTCAGATTTATTTAAGAAAGGAATGTGCCATGCCATCAAAATGCCTTCACCTCCTCCCTCTTCCAGGTAACCAATTATTAAATACCAATTACACGTCTCAGTTTAGGCTTAGTTTTGGTTTGTTTACCTGGTTTCTGAGGTGTAGTCCTCACTCACTTCTCCTGCCTCTCTCTCTCTCTCTGTCTCTCTCGCGCGCTCACTCTCTCCTCCTCCTTTCCTGGCTTCTCTTCTCCCACTAGCTCTTTGTCAATGGTTCCCCGGCTTCTGTCTACTTTTTCTCCACGTTCTGTATAATGCCAGGCATTTGTACTGAAGTCTTCAGCTTCAACTATCATTTAACTGTCAATAATTTCCAAGTATATAACGGTCACATTCACCTTTGCGAAGGGGCCACATCCATCTTTCCAGGTGCCTACTCATCTCTGCATGTGAGTATTCTGAAAATATCTTTAACCTGTTCTGTCTGTAGTGGAGCGTAGCCCTTGGCTCCAAACCTTACCATGCTCAGAGCATTAGCCATCAAAGCCACTGCTTTGACCCTCTCACATCCGTGCCCACAGATGCAGAGTTGAGGACCTGTGTGTTGTCCATTGTCACAGCCGTTCCCAGTTGAATACCTGCAATCAGAGCATCATCCTTGTGTTCTTTTCTTTTCTTCCTTTCCTTACACATTCCCTCTCCTCTCTTCTCCTCTTTCTTCACAGAGTCTCACATAGCTGAAGTTGGCTTCAACCCCCACCCCATCCCCTTGTATTCATGTTCCAAAGTACTGGGGTTACAGACGTGTGCCACCACACCTGGCACTATCTTTCAAAGCCTCAAAACCATGTCCCCCCCTACTTTCAAGTGTGTTCTGAACTGCTCTGAGGGGGACCTGAAGGGTTAAGGGGAGACCAGGGCTGGGAGCACAGGGTTTTTAAATCCTATTTAATGCTTTGTGGTTTCATTTCGGTGCTGGCTCTTGAACCCAGGGCTTTGTGAGTGGCGCATGCTCCAGCAGTGAGTTACACCTTGACACCCTGACTTACGTTCATCGCTTTAAGTGGGATGCCAGCTAGACAGTTTGACCAAAGAGTCTTTCCAATTCAACAGGGTTTGAAGACTTCTAAGATGGGTCCCGACTTCTTGGGATGGCAGACAAAGCACCATGTGATCCGACTCACACCCATATCTACAACTGTCTCTGGCCCTCCATGCTTGCCCACCTCGCCCTCTCGCCAGACTGAACTAATTTACAGCTGATGCGTTCTTTCAAGCATCCCTTGCCAGCAAGCAACCTTGCAAACAATCCTCTAAGCTACAGTGCTTCTCCTCCCTCACTTTGTCTATCTGCCTGGTGAACTTTTGCTCGTCCCTCAGCACCCGGGTCAGACACCCCACTTCTTTGCCGCCTTTGCTGACTTCCTCTGGCCTCCACACGATGCCCCCTCCACAGGCGGTCACTTTCACTCCCTGCCTCCACAGGTCAACACAGCTCCCCTCTCTTCACATACCATTTTGCAGCTGCTGGTTTC